TGTCTCTACAAAAAAAAATTAAAGATTAGCCAGACATGGTGGTGCACGCCTGTAGTCCCAGCTATTAGGGAGGCTGAGGAGGGAAGATTGCTTGAGCCCAGGAGTTTGAGGTTACAGTGAGCTATGGTGGTGCCACTGCACCTCAGCCTGGGCAACAGAGTAAGATCCCATCTCTAAAAAGAAAAAAGAAAAAGAAAAAAATAAAAGTTCATAAGGGAGACAGCTCATCAAACAGACCAGAACACAGGGTCCAAGAGATGACATTGTAACATAGATAATTATGGAAAACAGTCCTGTTGTAGAACAATAGTGACTCCTGAAATTGACAGCCTCTATGCAAATTTGTTTCACAAAGACTATGCTTGCTCCTGAGTAAAATTTGCTTTTTAATTCCTTCTTGACAGAACCACTGATAAAATTGCTTCCATCTTATAATCAAAATAACTTATTCATAAGCCTAATATTCTTGTGAATGATTCCAAAAGGCAGGCAATGTTTGATATTGTTTTTATATGACAAGATACCATTCCATGTGTATCTGTAACAACAGTAAAACTAAATCCAATGAGTAGGTACCTTTAAGTCCGGAGTAAGTAACCCTAAATGTCAAATGCCATAAGACACTGCCACTTGTGAATGGCTTTCTTTATCTTCCAGCGTATGGATGGTGGGCACTCTGAGTAGGAAGCTTCATTATACTGCAGTAGAAAAGCTTTCTCCTTATTTTGTCCTCATCTGGTACAGAGGAAAGAGCAAGTGGGCAAGTATATAAGATTTGAAAGCTGCATTCCTGACAGTCAAGACTGGAGGCTGCCTCCTCCATCTGTTCTGACCTGAACTCTAGTTAATCTTGTCCAAGTTAAATTCTAACTATCACCAGATGGGACCTATCACCTGCTGGGACCTGTCACACCTCAGATTTTTGCTCTGTCAGAAGTAAAGTTGTGTTCTTACAACTCCCAGGAGTAAATATTATGCTCTAAGATGGATAAATGAGATACGGAACTAGCTACCAACAATTAGGTCTTAATGAGTTCAACATATAACATGTCATAGAGTTAAAAATGTGAAAAGATTATCTTTCCAAATGTACGTATAATTATGATGACAACCTGCTTGCCGGTCACAAACCTACTGTACTTGTTATGAGGATGAAACAAGAAAAACTCAAAGGATGACACTAAACTCTAGGTAAGACAGCTTCCAGAAATCAAGAAGGGAATTTCCCACGTGTTCAGGCAAATATACCCTTCCTTATCTTTCTTGCCCACTCAAAAGTTCTGACATATATGCTACAAAACCTAGTGTGGTTGCTCAAGTTGCTCAAGCCTGCTTAGAAGCTTATAGCGCCTTCTGCGAGGTTTCGGGTATTTTCAAAGGTTTCTCTTGTTCTGTACTTGTTGCCTCCAAATTTGTAATTCTCCTCCAACTCCATCCTCCCTTCCTCTGTGCTATAAGCTTTCAGTGCATTCCATTCATCACTTTCATTCCCCACTTAAAATACTGTTTGGAAATTTCCTAAGGGGAAATCTCTATAAAAGCACTAAGAGAAAGAAAGTAAGGATGAGTTACTGCCTGTAAATCGTGCAGTTTAATGTCTTTCGTTTTGATCACGATTTAAGACTTAAAACCATGAGTATCTGTGCAAAAGAACTTTCTTCTATGAAGATTGTCCGGCTTCCTCCCTAGGTTTCAATCCCAAAATTTGCCATGAATAAAAGAAACATCACCTCATTTCTCCCAAGATTCCACGCCGACAATGCTCTTCACCGGCAGGTGTTTCCCTTTATGACGCCAAACGCTCTCTAGAACCTCAATAACTGAAGAACTCCCTAAATCTTAGGTTTTTCTATTGCCCCAGCGACGCTCCAGGGTTTGTTTCTCTACTCCCCTAGGCCCAAGCCCGCCCAACGGCGTTAAACCCAGCCTCTTATTGGTCCAAGTGTATGCTCGTCCCCCCAGCAAGCCAATCAGAGCCTCCCTTTTGTACGCTAGGAATATGGGAAACGGAAGAGACCGCTGCCTGTCCCGGGAGCAGGGGGCGGCCATGAGGGAATGACAGCTCTATCTTCCAATAGGCAGAGCCCGGGACCTGCCCCTCTGGCTCCGGGGATAGAAAAGAGCGTAGATGCCGGCAACA